TTTCTATGAGATGAGATTATACATAGATAAATTCATGAGACAATGGGCTGAAAAGAAGAAATGGTAGAGAGGAAAGGAAGGAGGAGGGAGAATCCCGGGATCAAGGTAGTGTCAGAACCCCCCAAATTTCACTCCTTCCCTCTCCCCACTTCTTACTACAATACCCACCCTCCAAGAGGGGCGAAGCCTCATACCATCTTCCCCACTACCCATCCCCACCAAGGGTAACCACGTCAAGCACATGTTTTACAGCATTTAGTTATAGACTCTTGAGTAAAAATAAGAGAATTTAGACAGTGACCTGGGTCAAATGAAGTTGGGAGGTACCTACTAGATCAAAGAATCTACAATTCCTAAAACTCATACTAACACTAGTAGCTAACATTTATTAAATGCTTTCTATGGGCCACTATGTAAGAACTTTACATTGCTTATCTCACATAATTGTGTAATAACACGGTGGGTATTATGATTATCCTCAGTTATACAGATGAAGAGACTCAGGCACAGAGAGGTTAAGTAACTTGTCCAAGGTCACACATCTAGTGATTATGGAGCCAGAATTCAAATCCAGTGTAAGTCCAGAGACACTAGAAGTGATAAAAATACCACCAAGATTTGATACTTAATTTCCCATGGGAATTTTCTCTTCCTGCTCATTAAATGATGTTGCTACATTTCTTGCCAAGCGTACCAAGAACACAAAACACAGACGTCCAGTTTTTCATTTCTCTGGCTAATACATTTATGAAAATTAAATTTAAAATATTCTCCCATGTTATTTGATTCTTTATCATTTAAAAAGCAAGTTTCTGGGCCAGCCAAGTGGTGCGTTGGTTAAGAGGGCCCCGGTTCAGATCCCACATATGAGGGCCAGTGACACTGCCCTCTACAGCTAAGATGCTGAACAACAGCTCAACCTGGAGCTGGGCTGCCCGTGAGTCCCCAGCGACGACGGCTAGGCTGCAGCCCCTGCAGTGGGTTGCCATGGGCTACCGTGTGTAGCCAGCAGCCAGGGTGAGCAGCTGTCTAGAAGCCTGTGACTGATCTGCCTCGCCCAGGAAGAGCGCAATGATGGTGCCAACTTGGGCCAGTGAAGCAACGTCCTCCACAACTAGACTGAAGAACAAAAGGACAGCAACTTGTCTGTTTCCCTTCCCCCAGTTCCCCAGCACTGTTGCCATCCCCCAATTCCCCAATAAAAAATCTTTAAAAAAAAAAAAAAAAAAGCAAGTTTCCTTGAAACTAAAGTTGCTTTTGCAAAATCTGGTTTACATTTAGAATTTGAAGTGGAATATAAAATAAAGCAGTGTTCAATGTCTGCAGTGTCAGGTCATTTCTTTCAAGATTCTATAACTAAACTCTATAAAACATGTGCTTGACATGTAGAACTGAATTCCCATTATGTTCAGTCATGCAAAATTTGACTGATGAAGCGGTCATTAGTTACAATGATCCTGCCAGGTAACTGGGGAGCCTATTTTGACCTCCAAGATCATTTTATATTATGAGATATACATGCAAAACTAAACATTGCTTCTGTTTGCCTGATTCAGTATTTTATAGGAAAACTGCCAATGAGTACCCTGTTTGCAAATGACTTGTGGGTTTAAATGAACCTAATTGCTTTTAAAATTATGTATTTGAAAACCATGTGTTTAATAAACATGAATTCTTTGGGCTTATTATCAACTGAAAATGACATTATTTTAAAATAGGTATGTTAGAAAGTATATGTTTTACTGACCAGAAAGCCTAAAATTTTTTAAACATATTTTCAATAGGACTGTACTCATTCCTTAATAAGAGAAATAAAATTACCCCACAGTAAGAGAAGGAAAAAATTCAACACGGAAGACAGCTCCAAATAACTAAAGTATAATGTTCATTAGTGTACATAATAAACCCTTATGTTGACTACAAAGAAATACATGATTCTGTTGATAGCAAGTCCGTTTCTCTTGCCTTCACTAAATAAATGGGTTGAAGAAATACATAAAAGATGTTGGTTTTAAGGATGTCAAATTACTTACCTGCCTGTTTGGGATATGTTACAGAGGTAACATAGGGGTTGGGGAGGTGAGGGGATATTGTTTGGTGCCTCTTTTAAGCCCTTTGACAAAAAAGCTTGGGAACACCCAATATACCCAAGGGCAGTACACCATGAGGCCACAAGGTGTCACTGTCTGACAACCTCTCGCTTTGCAGCTGACAATCCTCCAAGGGGAAGGGAGGGAGGATAGGAAGGAATGTTGACTTCATTTTGATATAATTACCAGAAGTGTATCCATTAGGATATACAGCAATTAATGCATCTAAATCAACAGGTGTTTCCTTCTCATGTCCCTAAACCTAAAATTCAAATCTTTTTTTTTTTTTCCCTCTTCATTTTCTGGAGCAATCCTAATCATGTTGATATTACTGCAGATTAGGGATACTAACCTAAAAATTTTCTATCATAACCTGTTGGTCTTCACAAACGTTCAGTGCGATGTCCTGGATAGGAATTATAATCCATATGGTACAGATGAGGAAACCAAAGCCCAGAAAGTTTGTAATTGGCCAATGAAAATTCCAGGGGCCACTTTCCTGACACCCACCACCCTAACTGGGGACTATAACACCTGTCCCTCGGTCATCCCTCAGAGTGGAGGTGGTTGAGAGTAGGGTTTGACTATTTTGATTTTTGGAAATTAATGTAAACTGTCTTATCTGAAACTGTCTGATATGGATTTGTATTTATTTATGTACATAAAACTTCAGGGAATTTTCATGGGTGCTCTAAGCCACTTTGGGCTGTGTCTTGGATAGGTTTCCAAAGAACCTCACTCTGTTGTTGGGGTGGGTGTTAGTTTACTAGGGCTGCCATAACAAAGCATAGATTGGGTGGCTTAAACAACAGAAATTTATTTAGTCACAATTCTGGAGGCTAGAAATCCAAGATTAAGATGTCAGCAGGGCTGGTTTCTTCTGAGGCCTTTCTCCTTGGTTTGTTGATGGCCCTCTTCTCCCTGTGTCTTCACACGGTCCTCTTTCTTTCTGTGTCTTAATCTCCTTTTATTATAAGGACACCAGTCAGATTGGAATAGGGCCCACCCTAAAGACCTTATTTTACCTTAATTACCTCTTTAGAGGCCCCATCTCCATGTATAGTCACATTCTGAGATACTGGGGTTAGGGCTTCAACAACAGAATTTAGGGGGGAAACAATTCAACCTGTAACAGAATGGAAAAGTTGAGAAACTTGCATTGCCCCTTCCAACTCTTTACCATGAGAATGTAAAAAAGCGTTTGTCTGTGTCCTTAATCTGAAATGCCAGAGAGTTGAACACTATGTGTTTCTTTCTCTAAGAAAGCTCTCTAATCTTTTTGTATCTGACTCTCTTTCTTTCTATAGTAGAGCTTAGAAAAAATGTTTATGATCCCCATTCTTGTAGCAAGAAATTATACTAAACTGTGGAGCAATTTAAAAACAGGAACAGCTGTGTACTTAAAAGTACAATTTTTTAAACCATTTTTAAAAATTATTATTAAGAAATTTTATTGGGGAACAGTGTGTTTTTCCAGAACTCATCAGCTCCAAGTCAAGTAGTTATCTTCAATTAAGTTGTGGAGGGTGCAAGCTCCGTTGCTCATGCAGGGATTGAACCGATAACCTTGGTGTTATGAGCACTGTGCTCTAGCCACCTGAGCTAACTGGCCGCCCCTTAAAAAACATTTTAAATGATATACATGTTTTTAAACTGTGGAAAATACAGAAAAGCAAAAAGAAAATGAAAATTACCCTTACTCCCACCACCTGGAGAAAATGCTACCAATATTATGTACCATCTCTCTACCCTTACTTAAAATTTTTTTTCTCACATTTTTTGAGAACTTGCACTTCTGAAAATGTCTTTGTTATATCCTTACCATTAATTGACAATTTGACTTTAGAATTCTAGCTAAGATACAATTTCCACCCTTCCTATCATACACATACATTTTTTTATTTTATTTTTTACCAAATAGCAAGCTTTGGGAAACGTTTTGTGGCCTGCTTTTTAAGCTAATATTTTCCATATCCTTCTGCAAAAAGTACTGTTAGTTAACCAAATTTCAGATTTTTGGACATTTATATTGCTTCCAAATTTTTGAATTAATCAGTAATGCTGTGGTGAACATATCTGAAAGCTAAAGGGAGAGCTGAGACTAAGAAAGGGCTAGAGAAGAACCCTAAAGAGCCCCTAGAGAGGTGAACAGAAATGGGCTCCACAGCCCACATGGAGGCACGTGGACAGGGGGAAAGGGGAGAAAGTTAAGGGCAAGAATAGAATGAGACAGGCAGTTGAACGAGTTACAGCCTAGGTACATTAGTTTGGTTACAAGTTCACTGAGCCCAACTGCGCACCAGGCGTGGCATTGGGTTCCAACAGGGCAGCAGCCGAGCCTGAGCGACCTCTACAACGCAACCGGCGACGGAAGGAGCCAGTGCTGGACCAAAGGCGGGGGACGATCGACGCGGTCAGCTGAAAGTCACCGGGTCGCTAAACTAAAGCAGCAGAAAAAACGCGGGCAAACAGCGCCCACGATCCCCACACGCCCTGAACGGGGGGCGGAAGTGGCGTCATCTAGCCCGGCGTCTCTCTCAGCCAATGGTCGCGCGATGCGCCGTCCGACGGTGATTCGCGCGGCACCTAAGGAGAAAAGGCGACGGCCCCTACGGCGTGAAAAAGAACTATCCTACTTATTACGCGAGTTACCAGGGCAGTACAGTCAATGACAAACGTCTCTTCCCGCTTCTCTCCCGCTGGTTAACCTAGGTCAGTGACACTATGCCTTCAACCTGTGGCCGGCCTCACGCCCAACCCACCCCACCCCCTTCGCACCTACCCTCAGTAAAGATGGCTGACTGGCAAGGAGAAAAAGCCGGAAGTAGGCGGGGTATGAAGCGTGGTTTGGCTAAGGGGCGGGCGGGAGGGGCGTGGCTATCCGCCCCACTGGGTTTTCGGTCAGTGAGGCTTACACACCGCAGCCAGCTGCATCGCACTGTGGTCTCCTGGAGGCGGATCACCACTAGCCCCGCCCCTGCGCTCAGCTTTCGGTCTTCGCAGGTACCCTCTGAGTCTCCGAGATTTGTTCCAAGTGGGGCTGTGCACCTCCAACCCCTCCGCGGTGAAAGCGGCAATGGCAGGTGCCCAGGAGAAACCCTTGGAGTGTAGCTCCTCTGTCCCCGGGTCCGAAGGGCCTACCGGCTCGGCCAGGGGGTTCGAGGTGTTGCCTCCCGAGGAGTCAGAGGGTTGCGCCCGGCCCCTAGAGACGGCCCCCAAGAAACTCTGTGGATACTTAAGTAAGTTTGGCGGCAAGGGGCCCATCAGGGGCTGGAAATCCCGCTGGTTTCACTACGACGAGAAGAAATGTCACCTGTACTATTCGCGGACCGCGCAGGATGCCAATCCCTTGGACAGCATCGATCTCTCCAGTGCTGTCTTTGATTGCAAGGCGGACGCCGAAGAGGGAACTTTCGAAATCAAGACTCCCGGTCGGATTATTACCCTGAAGGTAAACGGAGCGTTTTTTTCCTTTTCAGCCGGGTGAGTTCCCAGGGCACGGCCGGGCGCGGGTGGGTGGTCACAGTACATTTACTGAAACAGTGATGACCGACCCTGTTCATCCAGTGAACCCTGGGTGTCCAGGGTTTTGTGCTTTCCAAAGCGCATTCATACCCATTTCCTCATTGGATGAGGAAAGGCAGGGATGATGGATCAATAGTTGGATAAAAAAAACTGGGCCATAGAGAGATGAAGTGACTCACCCGAGGGGTCATGCATCTAGAGAGTGGAGTAACCCACACTTGGAATCCAGTAGTCCTTCTACCTCTCAGTACTGTATGAAAACTTTTACCTTTTTTTCTCTCTTTTTTTCAATACTTTTACTTTGGGGTGTGCCTAACAATGCAGTTACGTTAACTTTCTTACTTGGGGCTGAAGTATAGTCAAGACATGAGCTTTGCAACCCTCTCTCAAGGCCTGGATTCTGAATCACTTTTCCTGATGTTTTGGCCAACAGGAGTGAATGTTGAGAAGACATTAGCAGGGATTGGGAGGTAAACATTTAGGTTTCGCTGACCAACCTAGATTGTTCATTGAGGCATGTCTGAGCCTGCTTTCCCATCAGTAGATTTTGTTGAATCTTCATATTTACCTGAGAAAGCCTGAAACAGTGGAAAGGCCATGTACTTTAAAATTAGACAGGATTGGATTCAAATTCTACATCGACTACTTACTATCTTTGTGACCCTGGGCAAGTTGCTTAACCTCTCAGAATCTAGGTAGCTTGTGAGATTTGGAACAAGCTGTGTGAGTGTCTGGCACATCACAGGAACCTACAAATTGTTGAATTATTCCTAGCACCTGGAATATAGCCTGGTACCTGGTGGGTGGTGCTCGTAAATGTTTGTTGAATGAGCACATATGGTGATGGAACCAAGGTCAGAATGTTCATGCCTAGAACTTAAGTAGAAAGACAGATCTGGGTTAAGAGCTCTAGAATTCACACTCATCAGAAAAGAATGTGCCATAGACAGCTTCCCCACCCTTCCACCCCCACTTCTAGCCAATTGGGCATCTATTGAGGCCCCTGAATGCAGCCCACAGTTTCAGTTCCCCTTTACTGTCTGGGCCTGGCTGATGACCAGGGTAGCCGGGGGATCAGCTAAAATAATTCCTGGAAACCAGGAATTCCAGGCTAGGGAAAGCAGGCATTTCAGAGGTCATGTGGTTTACTGGTCTTGTGTCTCCTCCCACAGGTTGAATGCGGTGTGCAGGTTCTCCAACATGTGTCTTTTACTGTTTCATTATCTGTGTGTGTGCCTGGTGCCTGCCTATGTGCCAGGCAGAGGGGTGTAGAGCCAGGTCAGACCTGCCCCAATGCTCAGTGTAAGGTCTGGTGAGAGAGGCTGACAGGGAGTTGGCATGCACCGCAGAATGTTCTATAGAGACATTATAAGCCTGTACTGGGAAAGTATGGTGACAGGAGGGGTCAGTTCTACTGAGTAGGAGGAGTCATCCAGAAAGGGCATCATAGATGAGGGGATGACACCTGAGTCTTGAAGAGGAAATCAGTTTTCTACAAGCAGACAACCGAGAAGAACATTTCAGACCAAGAGAGCCCCATGAACAAAGATAGGAAAACATGCTACAGCCCAGAGTATCCAGACAAATCCCAGCAGCCTGGGGTACCGAGAGGCCCAAAAGAGGGATTGGGAGAGCAGAGGCCCAAGGGGGAGGGTGGGGCATTTGTGAATTATCCAGGGAGCTTGGGTTTTGTCCTGTGGGCTGTGGGAAATTGTCAAAGAGCTTTAAGCAAGGGAAAGCATTGTGGGATTAAAATGTTTAGAAAGCTCAGCCTGGCGATTGGATAGAGAACAAATTAGGAGAAGGCAACGCTGGTGGTCAAGGAGTGCATCAGAAGGTGGTTAGGAGAGAATGATGGCTGAGCCAGAGCTGTCACAGTGGAGAGGGAGACAGAAGGGTGGCTAAGGATGTGAGGCATAAAGAATGTGAGGGAGGAGTAATAAGTGGCTCCGGTAACTGGCCGGCTGCCTGTTGGGTCAGTCACTGACAGGAGAGAACCCAGGATGAGACTGTAGGACATCCAGGTGTATGTTCCGTCAATAGACTCTTAAATTCCAAGAGGTAGAGGCCATGTGTGTTGGCTCACCATAGTATCTCCAGTGCCTACCACAGTCCCTGACACATATAGTAGGTGCTCAATATACACTGTCCAATGAATTAATAAAATGGGGTGTTTTGGTATGGGCTGGAGCTTTTTAGCACAAGGACATAGTGAAGCCCCGGGAGGGGCTGAGGTCTCTCAGGGAACGTGTATAGGAAGAGAAGACTAGTGGGCATCAATTGATCTCATTTGGTGCCTCCATGACAGGCCGAGGAGCCTCTTTCATTGGAGCCCCCTGGCCTCATACACACCTTACCTGAGGGCCTCCTGAGAGGGGGAGCTTGCCCTGGTTGCCTGTAGCCTGCTGCCATCCTCACATGGCCTTGATTGCGAACAGCTCTGTGAAGCTCACCATCCTCTCCCAGTGAGCTGCCCAACTGCTGCATCCGACTGATCCTAGACCTTTGCTACATAAGCCATGTCTCTTGGCCATAAATTATAACAAAACTCTGGTCAAGAAGCAGGAGACCCAGGTTCTGGGGCCAGCTCTAATGCCACCTGCCTGGGTGACTTCAGAGCCTTAGTTTCTCCATCTGTAGAAAGAACTGATCACTCCTGCCCTGCCTCCCTCCTGGAGGATCAGAGAATAGGTGTTTGGGACGTAACCGATGTGAGAATAGGTATTTGGACCATCCAGTGCTGGGAGACTAATGACCGGCATCAGCCGTTAACTGGTGGAGGGTCCCTGGACGGTGCCACTTTGTTATTGTAGTGTCCAATCCCATCATATGGGTGATTTCAGTGCATTCCCCAAACAGGAAGGATTCCCCCCGTTCCACAGAGAGTTAGCCAAGACGTTGAAATGTTGCACAGGGTGATAGTGACGGTACCAGGGCCCCACCCAGGTCAGAATTCCAAAGCTCTTGCCCTCTCTCAGTACCCCCAAACTCCTTTACCCAGAGAGCACCCACATTTTGAGAACCCACTGCTGGTAGGTGCTATGCCGAGCACTTTACCTTCCTTACCTCATTTCTTCCTCATAACCAACTGCCCTAAGAAAAGAATATTGTCATCACTGTAACACAGATGATGAAACTGAGGCCCAGAAAGGTTAAGGAGCCTCTGAGTAGGAGACCAGAGCCTGATTATCTCCTGTGGCATGTGGTATTTCTGAGGTGGGCACCCATCCACAGTGATAGTTGTTGTTGTTTTTTCTGGGACAGAGAGTTACAAGCCTCCTAGGACTTTCCCTCATCCTACATCCAGTGCCACCCTGCAGGTACAGGGTCTTGCCAACTAACCCTTGTGCTTCTCAGGCCGCCACCAAGCAAGTGATGCTCTACTGGCTGCAGCAGCTGCAGATGAAGCGCTGGGAGTTCCACAACAGCCCGCCTGTACCTCCCGCTGCCCCTGACGCTGCCTTGGATGGGAATGGGCCCGCCCTGCACCTCGAGCTAGGTACCAACGGGCTCGCTTCCTGCCCTCACACCCAGGGCTCTTGGTGACCAAGCCTTCACCCTCTGTGGGGAGTGAGCGGGGTGAGCGGGAGGAGCCCTCTGCCAAAGGAGCAGAGGGCCAGGGATGTGACCCAAGACCTATCATGGCCACGGATAGCATCCAGCGCAAGATTATGGGCCCTTAGGCCAGGCTGCCTGGGTTCAAATCCTAATCCTGCGTGGCCTTAGGCAAATCTCTTAACCTTTGTGAGCTTCAGCTTTCTTCCCTGTAAAATGAGATCTATAAAGTTACCTACTTCTTAGGGTTATGATGAGGATTCTATGAATCCGTACACCCTAAATCAGCGGTTCTCAACCTGTGGGTCACGACCCCTTTGGGGGGTCGAACGACCCTTTCACAGGAGTCGCCTAAAACCATCGGAAAACAAAAAGATATTTACATTATGATTCATAACAGTAGCAAAATTACAGTCATAGAGTAGCAATGAAAATAATTTTATGGTTGGGGGTCACCACACATGAACTGTATTAAGGGGTCGCGGCATTAGGAAGGTTGAGAACCACTGCCCTAAATGGTTGGAACCATGCCTGCACAATTGTTAGAGCTCAATAAATGCCAGCTACTGTTTAGATGACTATTATGGGAAGGTCTCAAGAAATGAAACTTTTAGAGTTGTCATGAGGAAGATTAACGAGAAAATGCAGTTATTGTTGTTGCTTCTTACACAAATGCATTTGTGTTGTGAGTTGGATAAAACAGTGATTTTAACCCTGGTTTTCCCATAAGGCAGAATCCTTCACCCCCACATGGCCCACAAATAAAGTTTCTTGATCCCAAATCCTAGAACATCCCAGCATAGAGGAGTCCTAAGAGAGCACACCCTCCCACCCCCATGCCACAGCCAGGACTATGATTAGCAGAGTTTAGAATCACGACAGACCAGCCACGGCTGCCCCTGCAAGAACATAGAGAACGAGGTCCCAGCACAAAGCTGTAGCATGTCTAAGATGCCTCATCCTCAATCAACAGGGAAGCCAAATGAGTGAGGGCAGGACTTGTGGCCGAATGCCTCCTAGACCTCGGTACCTGGATGTTTTACACGTCTCAAGATGAGCTCATCTGCCCTTGACCCTTCTCCTCCCCATTTCCCTTTCCTCAGTAAATCCCACCCATTTACCCAGTTGCCCCAGTAACCAGGAGCTGCCCAGTCCCTTCCTCCATCTCAGTTAAGCCAGTCTAATCAGTCACCAGTGCTGGCCATGCCTCCACTGGCCTACATGTCAGACCTGGGCCCCCCTTGCTGTGGTTGCCTTGGGTCAAGCCTCAACTCTTAGTTGGAAAACCACCGCAGCCTCCTCTCTGGTGTCCCCATGTCCAGCCTTCCACCGCCGACCATCCTCCTCCCCGCAGCCAGAGTGAGCTTTATAAAATGAAAGCCCTGAGCCACACCCACCTTCTGTGGCCACCACCCCTATGTGGCAGCCTCACTCCCAGTTTTTTAACACTGTAATCAGACTGGCCCTTCCTCATCTCACCTCTACCTGCTCCCGCACTGTCCGCCTCTTGCTTTATACTTCACAGCGCCAGACATGTCTCTGCTCTCCTCTGCCTGATAAATCACTGTTTATTCTCCATGGCCAAGTTTTAGTGTCACTTGCTCCTCTTGCCAACTTTCTCTTGGAAGCCTTCTGGGACTTTGCCCGGTAGACTCTGTATGAGCCCCCAACACTTTCAGACGATTCTTGAGGCCTGTCACATTGTGTTCTAATTACAGTGTCCTTGTCGGTTCTGCTCACTAGCCCTCAAGGAGTTGTGTCCTTGTCACCTGTGTCCCCAGTATCTGGTGCCCTTCCTGGCACATTGGATATTTGTTGAGTGAATGTGTGAGTGAATACATTGAATTTTATAATTAAACGAGGAAAGGAATGCAAAGCCCTTAGCATAATGCCAGGCACATAGTACATGTTCAAAACACGGCAGCTGTCCTAATGATACTGTTATTATATGCGTACATGTACACTGTTACTATTATAGTAACTTTCTTTTTGTTAATAGTAATTTCTTCGGAGAACTTTCTGGGTGTTTGATACTTACAAGGGCTTTCTTTGGGGAAGGGTTTCTTTGTTTTTGCTTCTGCACTTCTGCCCCACCCCCTGCTCCCCACCTGCCAGAGAGCCAGACAACCCTGGCTGTGTGGAAAACTGCAGCCTGAGGTGGCACAATTGCTAGATCAGCCTCACGCTAGAAACAAAGAAAGCCTCCCTGACTTGAAATTGGAAGAACCAGGTTATCAAAGAGTAGCTTTGGGATCGCTTTCCAAGTTCTTGAATTCTGTAGCATTGGTTCAGTGCACTCAGGAGGCCTCTTCTGGGCCAGCCCCTGCTGTGAGCATGGGGGCAGGTGAGTGGTTGCCATGATGACCAGGGTGCCAGTCCCCCGAAGAGGACGCTGCGGGTGACAGAGGAAGCAGGGATGTGGGCTGTTCCTCTGAAGCTTTACTCATCTTGCAGCAAGCCCTCACCCTCCCGAACCCAGGGCCCCTGTGCAACCTTCCCAGGCCTACCCAGAAAGACATTTCTGGAATCCTGAGCAAGCTGGCAGGCCCCGGATTGGCTGTCTGGAGCAGGCTGCCCCACCTCTCCAGTCTCCACCCTTCCTAAGAGGAAGCCAGGGCCTACTGCCAGGGCAGTGAAAACCTACTGACTCACATCTGACTTTGAGTCAGACGCTTCATTTTGTAAAAAGCGTCTCATGACTGCCCTTGAGCATCTGCAAAGCATGTTCTTTACAGCTTTTAAGCGTTTACACCTTTATTATATACTTTACCTAAACATTGGTCTCCACAGAGCCAGGAAAGATCAAGGGGAAGCCAACAGATTGATAATCATGATATGTTGCTAAAGCAGGACACATTTGACAAAGCACTTTTATAAGTGTATATCATCATAAAAATATGCATACCATTTACTGGCACTGTTGTAACCCTTCATATGCATCATCTATCTAATCCTCACAACGCTCTTAGGAGGTAGTTACTGTTATTCCATTTTACAGAACAGGAAACTGAGGCCCAAAGAGGCCAAGGGACCTGTCCAAAGTCACACAGCAAGAAAATGTCAGTGCTGAAATGTGAACCCTCATCTGCAGGCTCACACCCCCCTCCCCAAGCTGAGGAGGCAGCTGGCCATGTGTCCAGGGCCCTCCCGGGAAGCAGTGACCTGCTGGCCCAGCCTTTTTGTTAGGTGATAACTTTCCCAGCCAGTGATGGGACAGCCTCTAGGCCTCAGGCAAAAGGGGAATTACAGATAAATGGTGATGAAAATATTTTGTGTGGTCACCTCCCTATGGGCATTTCCCCACACTGGGAAGGGGCCCAGAGGCCCCAGACCAGAGCCTTGGGTCAACTCTGTTTCCTACAGGAAGTGCTAACCTTCGCAGTAGCGTCACCATCATGGCCACCCATCCTTTGGGCACCTCTTTGCACTGGGACCCTGTGCCTTCCTGGGCAGCCCCTCCCTTCTTGGAACTGGCTGCTTGTCAGAAAGGCTGCTGTAACTAGGCAAAGTGAGGGACTATGTTGAGTCATGGCACTGTCAGCAGCTGTGTGACCATGGCCACAAAATTCACCCTCTCAGAACTGCTGTTTCCTCGTTGGTGAAACCAACCAGTGGTGACTTTTACCCACAAGACTTAGCTCTTTGTGGTCTCAGAGTAGATCTAGAACCACTGGTAGAAGTTAAAGGAAAAGATTTTGGCTGTTAGGGAAGTATTTGCCGAGATATTACAATCTTAGACAAATCGTAATGTTTTTTATTTGTTCTGAATGAGGGAGAGTAAAGATGGTTAAAGTATTGAAAAACAAGAAAATCGTAATTATTTTGAATCAGCTCAAAGTCTGGGTTAAAGACTACTTTGAAAGATATTGAGTCCACATCTTTACGGTTCTCTAAACATTTTCGTATACTTTAACTCTGAAGGGGACAGGGGAGAGAGTGTGCTTCCAGTTGTCAAATGTAGAACCTGAGGCCGGAAGAGAAAAAGGCATCTCCAGCCAGGTCACAGTGCCCTCCCAGCAGAGGGAGGGTCTTCCAGCTCCACAGCTGTAGCTCTTCCTCTTCAGCTGGGCTCCTTTAGGCGCCTGCTGAAACCCCCAGGGGACTCTGCCGGCCCAGCCAAGGGAGATGCCCCTTAGGCACCCGGCTCCTATTTGCCCTTTCCAGCGCTTTGTCCTCTGGGTCCCTCAGCATCCTCAGCTCTGTCTCTGGAACCCCTTGCTGCTGCCTGTGCAGAGACACACCGCAGGATCTTCCCCCCACTCCCTCTGTAAGTCCAAATCATCTCCAGCCCTCCAGGCCTAGCTCCAGTGCCCTTCCTCCAGGAAGTCTTCCCTGACTGAGTTAGAAGGAATCTGTCTCCACCTCCCAGAATGCCTCACCTTTTGTCTAGCCTGCCCTCCAGCTTCCACCCACTCGGGCTTTCTGAAATGGGCACTTCTTGCCTGAAGCTGGGAGCTTCCTATGCCTTTGCTTATCTCATCTTCTCCAGCCCCTCCCTCCCACCACCACCACCACCACCACCTGGAAACCTCAGGGTAGATGCCGAAACTGGTGAGAAAGTGGATTGAAGGGAGGAACTCAAAGGAATGACTTGATCTGTACGGCCAAGTGCTGGCCAGCCTGCCAGATCTGAAAGAACCTATTAGGAAGTAACAAACATATTACTGGCAAAGTTTATTTTCAAGGAGACCGAACAACTCCCCCTGACCTCAACCACTGCATTTCATGTTTTTGTACCCACACCCTTTTTGTGGATGTAGTGCAAAAATAAATTCCCTGTACCCCTACATTTTTCTTCCTCTCAGTAGAGGGCTCCAATTGAAAGGTGTCTACTGCCCTGTAGGTCTCAGGGGATGCCTGATAAGATCGTACCATGCCATCCCCTAAGTGTACTTTTTGTAACACTCAAAACTAACTTCTAAATATGTCATCTCCTCTGTTTCATACCTCATTATGTTTCCTTAGCCTTGACATCTTCCTTAGCATTAAACATTTTGAAGCACTCACTGTATAAGAATCATTATTTAAGCAGGACATTTGGGAAACAAAAAAGTAAAAGAAAAAGTAACCATAATCCTATCATCCAGAGACAGCCAGTGTCAATGTTATGTTATGACCTCCCACCTTTTATTTAAATGTACAGTAATACCTTGGTTTGCGAGCATAATTCGTTCCAGAAACAAACTACTCGTATTGCAAGACATTGCTCATTTACCACATTAAAATGTATTAGAAATGTTTGCTCGTCTTGCGGAACACTCACAAAGCACGTTACTCTTAATCCAAGGTTTTACTTGTATTTCAGATCATAATATAAAAACTCCCAGCTTTGCTTTTTGCTACTCAGTATTATGACGCTAAAACTTCCCTGTATCATAATGTCTCTTTCTTAACATCTACTTTTGATGAATATATGTTATTTTTCTGTTTATAAAAGTAACCCATGTTTACTGTAGAAAATTTGGGGGGGAAAGCAGTAAACTATAATGAGAATAGCCAGCTCCCTTCTAATCCCATCATGCATTTCTGACTGCTGTTGAGACTACAGAGTGTATTTCTTTCAGACTTTTCTTATACAATTGAAATCATACGATAATGCCAATGTTTTATCTGGCTTTTTCCACTTAATGTTATCTCCTATACACACTCCCCGTGTTCTTAAGCATTGTGGGGTTTTTTTGGTGTTTTTTTTTTGTTTTTGTTATTAGTTTCAAGTGTAACAAACAATGCACTAGTTATACTTTTCACCCCTTGCAAAGTGACAACCTCCCTCCCCCAATCCACCGCCCCCACCCCCAATATCATACATATCTATTACAGTTCCATTGACTCCACTCCCCACACTGTACTCCACATCCCATGACTATATATATATTAAATTATAGTTGACATATAATATTATTCAACGGCAGCTTCAGATGTACAGTGCAGTGATCAGTCCTCTACACCGTCCATGAAGTGGTCTCCCTAGCAAGACATGAGTCCCTCTAGCCCCCTAAAAAATAATTACAACATTATTGATTATATACCCCAAACTGTCTTTCCTATCCCTGTGGCAATATTGTAGTTACCGATTTATATTGTCTCATCCCTTCCCCTTCTCCCTCATCCCCACCTCCCTCCCATCTAGCTAAGCATTTTTCATTAGCATCATTTTAAATGGTTGAGTAAAATTCCATTGTCTGAAGTGATTTATTTAACCTTTCCCCAGATCTTTTACATTATTTCCAGTTGGAGGCTAAACGGTGCCAGGAAGAACCTCTTGGCTCATAAAGTTTTGTCTGCATGTCAGATAGCTTCTTTAGGTGGCTTCTCAGATGTAGAAATACTGCAGTTCTGCATATTTTTAAGGGATTTTCAGGAAGGTTGTTCCAGCAAAATGTATCGTTTTCCTGCTTGCAGAACATTCAGTGAACCACCTGCCTCTTTGGCTGTTGTTAACCCACGAGGAAGGCTGCTCGTGCTGTTCGCCTGCCGCCAGCTCCCAGTCAGAGTTGAGTCCATAGCACCCACCTGTCTGGTCTTTCCAAGCGCAGTGACCAGGTGGATGACACACACACACACACACACACACACACACACACACACACACACACACACACACACACACACACCTCTTTGTTGTTGTTGTTCCCCAGAGCAAGAGGAAGCCGAGCTGGAGGAGTTCCTGAGCCCTGTGAAAACGCCCACTGGGCTCGTGGGCACGGCAGCCGCCTTGCAGCCAGCCCCTGCCATGCCCTTGGCCCTCCAGAATATTTCCCTCAAGCACCTGGGAACTGAAATACAGTAAGTGCCAACAGAGCCGAGGGGCCCGCCCAGCTGGAAGCAGCCCCTTCTTCAGAGCATACAATGATGTGATTTCCCTGCAGGGAGATGGGCCTGGGAGGGGCGAGGGGCTTTATTTTCAATTCATGACGTCTTTACTTTAAAATGTTACATTCATTGTTCTGATTTTAAAAGTAGTACATGTTCTTTATAGGAAATTAGAAACATCTAGAAAGGTATACATTGAAAATTACCCATAATCCTATTACCCAGACAAGCATTCTTAGCATTTGGTATATCTCTTTCTTCCACACTGTCTATACACATCCATGCATAATTGAGATCATACTGAATGTAATGACGTAATGGCTTCAGAAATGTCTACATATGTCAGTCGCATCAAAGTATTCATTTTTAACATGTGTAATTCATTGTACATTGATCATATCTTAGCTGCTTTTTCATTTAATAATGTATTATATATACAATTTCCCATTGGTAGGCCTTGTTTTAAATAGTTTATAAGAAGATAGCCATACGGCCTGGGCTTTGGAACCAAACTGTGTGGATTTATTATATATCCTGGCTCCACCAGTCGTGGGCTGTGCTACCCATGACAAGTTGTTTGATTTCTCTGTGTTTCACTTAAATTGTTAGTAAATGTAAAATACAACAGTGCTTGTCTTACAAAATTAGTGCAGGGTTAGCTGGGTTAATGCATGCAAACTTTACAACTGTGCTTGGTACTGGGTAAGCACTTAATAAATATTACTTAGAGCTACTATTGTTACTCTTTTTGAAGGAATGGAAGCTTTTTGGAATTCAAACTATGCCCAATACTGATCCTGTTTGGTTGCTTGTTTTCTGTGTGGACTTCAGACAAAGCGGGACCTTTTAGAAAGCAGATTAGATTGTTACTAGACTTGGATTAGAGACCCCTGGCTCTGTGTGACTCAGGAATAGCATTTCCCTCTGTCAGCTTCATCGATGGTGTTCCCAGGACAGAGTGGATTTTAGGAAAAAGACGATGAGTGTCTTAGGGGCTACTGGCTGTAAGTAGAACTACCCACCAGGCATTTGAATGGAGGGGCCTAGAACTCAGGAGAGAGATCTGAGCTAGAGAGAGAAAGACTTGGGGGATATGGGGTATGGCCAAGCCCCACAGTGTGAGTGGACAAGGAGGGTGCCCTGCCAAGGATCTTTCTTTGGGAGGAGCTGGAGGGAACTGGGCACATTGTGAGTGAGAGGCGGCCTGAGAAGCCCAGCCATCCAGCCAGGACACACTGGACTGGGTGGTCTCACTAAGAATAAGCCAGGTTCATGCCTGATAAAGGCCACAGACAGCAGAAGTGGAACAGAGAACATGCAGAGACCAAGGAAGGAAGGAAGTTTCAGAGGATCAGTCAGTTACTTGCCTTCTGACACTTGCAATAACCCACAGAAAATGCAAGGCAACATTGCAAGTTCCCTGGGCTGCCGAGAGCCCCGGTAAGATCAGGGTTGCTCTTGTCTCCTGCACTCCCTTGCCCTGGCTGGTCTTGGAGCTTGTAGTTGGGTCTGCCTTGAGCCCAGGTCATACTCTGGGGAAGGGAGTAAGGAGCTTCCAGAGCACTGTACTGGGTGCTTTATACTCTCATTGAGTTGTCTGGACAACACTATGAAGTGGTACCATAACAGTTGGGTTCTCGAGCTATGGAATCACACGTCCAGGTCTGATGCTCAGCCCTACCACTTTACCAGCTCTGTGGCTTTGGTTACTTATCCTTTCTGAACCTTAGTTCTCTGTGTACAATGGAGGTGATAATAGTACTTTCTTCATTGGCTGTTGTGAGGATTAAATGAGTTGAATGCCTAGTGTTTAGTTTAGAGCCTGTCCTGTGGAAGGGCCCAGTCATTGTTTGTGGTGAATAAGTCCATCATCCCCATAGCAGATGAGGAAACCCAGGCTCAGAGAGGATAAATGGCTCACCCAAGGTTTTCTTTCCAGAACAAGCCTTTATGACCACTTCCCTCATGCTGGCCAGGCCTTTCAGACCTGGAGCTAAACCCACACAGAAAATTATCTATACCAAGGCAAGTCAATACACTTATGAAATGGAGATGCCTCTTCCAAACAAAATAGTTTAGCTGGGTAATGGCCACGTGAGCTATGTTCATAGTTAATGAGCTTCCCGCCCCCAGGGGAGATGTGGGCTGGGACTTAGAAAGCCCTTTACTGCCCTGAAGTTGGGGTTTCTATGCCCTCCCACATCCCAGGGATCACTGTTTGTAAGCTCCTAGAAATGTTGGGGAAGCTACAGTTCCTGTGTAAGGGGAAGTGTGGGCAGCAATGATGGTCGCCCCACCCAGCCAGTTCCTTTGGCTATAGGGATGTGTCCCTGAGTCCTTTCTAAGTCATGTGGCTTGTGGTTTGGAGATACATGTAATGGGGCTCAGCACAGGACCCAAAATAAAGTGTATTCCGTAAATAGTGCCCTTCATTATTCTTTTTAATATGACCACCACTCTTTTATTTTTGGATAGGGAACGTAAGAACTAGGAAGGGTAAGTGACTAGTCCAAGGAGTCAGGGGCTCCTTATAATAAGACCTTAATAACAGAGCCAATGGAATAAGAGACCAAATTTCAAGGCCAGCTATTGGGAGTTCTGAGTTCTTAACTTAACTGATTAATTTTTCCCTTCATCTGTCAGCCTATTTTGGACCCAACTATACCAAAAAACTTGGTTTTTCTTTTAAAGATAAGTTTTAGATCAAATGATGGTTCTTTGTAAACATCAACAAAGTGGACAAACCTTTAGATAGACCAAGAAAAGACATAAGACTCAATTACTAAAGTCAAGAACAAAAGAGGGGAGAATACAACCAATCTTATAGAAATAATAAGGATTATAAGGGAATACTATGCCAACAAATTAGATAACTTGGATGAAATGGACAAATTCCTAGAAAGACTCAAATTACTGAAACTGACTCAAGAAATAGAGAATCTGAATAGACCTATAACGTGAAAAAGATTGAATTAGTAATCAAAAAAACTACACACATACACACACACACACATACACACAAAAAAAACCAACCTAGAAACAGATAACTTCACTTGTGAATTCTACCAAACATTTAAAGAAAAATTAATACCAATTCTTTACAAACTCTTCCCCCTCCAAAAAGGGAAGGAACACTTTCAAATTCATTGTATAAGGCAAATATTACCCTGATACCAAAATGAAACAAAGATATTACAAAAATTTGAACATCCAGTCCTCACCTAGAATTTTCTTACGTTAATTTTGCCAGAAAGCATGTTTTTTCTAACTCACCTCTTCACAGAAGGTATGGATTTTCAGAAGTTCCAGCTTTATGTAAAATTTCAATTTCAACTCTACACTTTGTATAGGTCCAAAACCTTATTTTCTTCCCTCCCTTGTAACTAAGGCCTTAGGTTTCTGATATCAACAATTGATCCCTGATCACACACACACACACACACACACATATCGTAACTATGTATGGTGACAGATGTTATTAGACTTATTGTGATCATTTCACAATATATACATCCATTGAATAATATGTAGTATACCTAAAATGAATTTAATGATTTTTGAGCCAGGTAGTTTGTTACAAGACCAGATGAAGGTTTTAGGAAAATTAGTTTGCCAAGTCCTTTCAACATTCATTCAACACATATGTAGTAAGGGCCCTCCCTCTATATTTCAGGCACTGTTCTAGGCATTCCAAGTTCTTCAGTAAACAAAACAGACAGACATCCCTGCCCTCTAGGAGCTTATACTCCAGCAGCAGGGTTGGGGGCAGGGGAGTCAAGCTTATATTGTTTATAAGCAGTGTTGTGTGTGGAAGGAGATAAGTATGATTTTAAAATGAAAAGGAGAAGAGAGAGGGTGACCACGAGTGGCTGGGGGGCATGTATCATGCCAGGTACCTGGAGTTTGGCAGACAGATCAGGGCACGACGGGGGCTAGGGCTGCGGCCTGAGCTCTAGCAGTGGCAGTGGGGCAGGCAGAGGGGCAGAATGGCAGGGCTGTCAGCTTCATGTTCTTCTGTTTTCCTTCAGAAACACGATGCACAACATCCGGGGCAACAGGCCGTCCCAAGGAACAGGCCATGGACCTCCTGGGGAAGATTCTCCACTGATCAGGGAGCCCCAGAGGGAGGAGCAACCCTCGCACCCTGACCCCAGCTCCCCAGGTGAGCCTCTGCCTTCAGGTCTGAGCTGCCTTCAGAGATTCAGCGAGTGCCCCCCTCCTTCCCCCCAAAAAACCAGCATTTGTGCTTTTGTGTGTCAATGATGTCACTCTTCCTGGGTTTCTATGGATCTAGTAGCAATGATTCTTTATTATTATTATTATTATTATTATTGTAGTAAAATATACATAACATAAATTTTACCCTTTTAACCAATTTTAGGTGTATAGTTCAGTGGTATTAAGTACATTCACTTTCTTGTGCAACTATCACCACCATTCACCTCCAGGACTCTTTTCATCTTCCCAAACTGAAACTCTTAGCAATGATTCTTGAAGTGGTAAAAGAAAATATTTTAGAAACTCACTTTCTTTTTTTTTTAATTTATAAGGAAATGATATAAAAATGTCTTCTGGGGTGATTAAAATCAGATCTGCCTGAAGAAGCAAGACCTTTAGGTATCCATCTTAACTATGACACAGCACTTTATTATTTCTTTCACAAAATGTGAGTGACCGACACCATTGGTGGGGTTGTGGCTTCCTTGAAATTGGCATTGGTGCCCTTAGAACATTATTTTAACTTAGAAACAGTTGGGAGAAAGCTGGCCAAGGCAGCACTGTGGAGTTTTCTTAGGGCAGAGAGGACCCCTGGGCTGTGTGTGTAGAAGTGACTGGAAAAGGCGCCCCTTTGAAGCAGTGCCTGATGGGGCCCCGCAGATCACAACAAGAGCAGTCCAAGAGAAGGTCAATACTGAGTCGAATCAATAATAATAATGAAGCTAGCACTTATACTGCCAACAAAATGTATACACATGTTAAAAGATGTTAACACTTTGGTCATCGTTGTTCACGCAGTTCGTGGTAATCAGAAGTGTCTGGACGCTGATGGTAACCACTTTGAGCACCTCTTGCAATTGCAGAAGTCAAACATGACTTGTATTCATCTTTTGAGTATTACAATTTTAATACAGATTTTTCCTTTTTTAAAAATTGTATACTTTTTATGGTACCCTCTGTGTGTAGCAATTAATTTTGTGCCAGGGCTACCCGAAGTACTTTTTCTGGGGGTCGGGGGGTGGGGTAGAGAATAACCATTTTATTAGGATATAGTGCACATACCATACAATTCACCCACTTGAACTCTACAATTCAGTAGCTTTGAGTACATTCACAGAGTTGTACAACCATCATCATAATCAATTCTAGAACATTTTTATTACCCCAGCAGAAACCTGCATAACCTCAGCCATCAGTCCCAATCTTCACCTCCCTTTAGTGCTAGGCAACTACTAATCTACTTTCTGTCTCTGTAGATTTGCCTATTCTGTGCAGTGCATATAAATGGAATCATACCATATGTGATCCTTCATGACTGGATCTTCCACTTAGCTGAACCTTTTCAAGTTTCATCCATGCACACTAAGCACTTTACCTGCATTAACCTGTTTAATCCTTGTAACAACCTGAGCAAGCAGTAGATACTGTTGTTATTCTTATTTAATAAATGAGGGAACCAAGGACAGAAAAGTGGAGTGACTCGTTCACAGCCACACAGTGAGTGACAGAACTAGGATTCAGGCCAAGTACTCTGGCCCCATACTTACTACCTGAAGCCACATTTTCTAAGTCAGTGATTTTTA